CAGCACTGGGCTGTGGAGCAGTGGAACTGTGTTCTCTAGAGTGATGGAGCTCCAGTACCTTTGGGATTAGCTGAAGTGATCCAGAACTGATCATCCAACATCAATACCTGACCTCACTAATGCTCTTGTGACTGAGTGCAATCAAATCGTCACAGCAATGTTCCAACATTTAGTGTAAAGCCTTTCCAGAAGAGTAGAGACAGAGACAAACTCCCTAAAAATACCCCTGAGATGAGTAGCTGTCTGAGAACTTTGCACATATAGTGTATCTGCTGCTAATGGCTAAAGACAATCACCATTCTTATAAAGCTACTTATAGACACAGGCATTACTGCTGAGGATTAACAGGTGTTTCTCCAGCAATCACCTCACTGTTCACTCTTCTGCTGCTCTGTATTTAATGTTTGTAGAATTTCTTGTGCAGTGTTTTGTATAGTCTGTTTATTGTATTTATTGATTTTGTTGCCTAATCCTTTTATCTGCTGCTGTTTCAGTTTAAATGTGCATTATGTCGATCGTCACTCAATACACTCAGGGTCTGTGGTGAGAGAGAAAGACTATTAAGTTGACTTTGATTTTATACTGTATAGTACACAGTGTATAATATGGTATAGTATGCAGTACAATACACAGTATATAATACAGTGATATTATACAGTATAATACACACTATATGATACAGTGATATAATACAGTATAACACAGCATATAATACAGTAATAACATACAGTACAATATGCAGTATATCATGCAGTGATATCATACAGTGTAATACACAGTATATGAGACAGTGATATAACACAGTATACAACACTGTATATAATGCAGTGCTATCATACAGTATAATACACAGTATATAATACAGTAATATCATACAGTATAATGCACAAAATATAATACCATAATATCATACAGTACAATACACAGTATATAATACAGTGATATAAAACAGTATATCACACACCATATAATACAGTAATAACATACTGTACAATATACTGTATATAATGCAGTGATATCATGCAGTATAATACACAGTATATAATGCAATGATGACATACAGTATAAAACAAAGTATGTAATACTGTGACATCATACAGTGTAATAAACAGTATACAATACAGTGATATCATACAGTATAATACACAGCATATAATACAGTGATATCATACAGTGTCATATGCAGTATATAATGCAGTAATATCATACAGTATAATACATGGTATGTAATGCAGTGATATTATACAGTATAATACACAGAATGTAATACAGTGGTATGCAGTAAATAATGCAGTGTTGTCATACAGTATATTACAGAATATATTGCAGTGATATCATACCTTATAATACACTATATATAATACCGTGATATCATGCAGTATAATATGCAGTAAATAATGCAGTGATATCATGCAGTATAATACACAGTATATAATGCAGTGATATTATACAGTATATAACACAGTTAAGTATGCATCAATACAAATACTGTCAGCCCGATAGTGTGCTTATTTACTCCTATTCAACCTCATAAAATGAACTGATGTTGAAATACGTGAGGGGATGAGAAGCCCTCAAAGCTATAAAATGTACTTTACTTACAGCTGTACAGAAGTGTTTTTTTTGATGTGGAACAAAATCCGCTGTTCTCCACTGCAACACTACTCGATCCATGATTTTTACACATCTTTTACACTGACAACTACTTATGTCTAAATATGTACATTACGCCGTTATGGTATCTGACTCATGTACGGGTACTCATACTCAGTCTGAAAAAATGGTATTAAAGCATCCTTAACCACAGTGATATTATACAGTATAATGCACATAAATTAATACAGTAATATTATACAGTATAATAAACAGTATATAATACAGTAATAATATGCAGTACAATACACAGTATATAATACAGTACAATTATACATACTGTACATACATATATAATACACAGAGTACAATGTAGTATAATTATATAGTGTAATTCACAGTGTATGAAACTGCTGCATAATATAAATCTCAGTATATAATACAATGTTATATATCATAACGCTCAGTATATAATACAGTATTATACAGTATAATGCTCAGTACATAATTCAGTGATAATTTATTTTATCTAATGTACGGTAGTACATGGCTGTCTGTTTTGCATCTGTAGCACAAAGCCTGCCTCCTCATGGGAGTGGGTCAAGTTTGTTGACCATAACAATGAAGTCTAATCCAGTAGCCACAGAGTGTGGGCATGTTCGCTTGTGAGTGTGAGTGTGTGTGTGTGCATCTGTGTGTGTATTTGGATGTGGCCATATGATCATGTGTGCATATGTTTGTTTTTGTCCATTTTCAGAAAATGTGCTGATTTTGTAAGAACAGGGCTAACCTACAGGAGTAACTGACTGTAAAGTTTGTTTATTTTTTTTAGAAACCATTTCTATTTGCTTACTGTCATAAAGAATATGGTCAGGCTTAGCAAACTATATATATATATATATATATATATATATATATATATATATATATATATATTTTCAAATAAAATAAATATAAAACTATCATAATTGTGTTTAAATTATATTGTTTTTTTATGTACCAGATTGTTTGATATGAAGAAAACAGTTGACCGTTTTATCTCAGCACAGCAGACTTTGTACTGTATAGTTTTGAATAGTTTTCACAGCAGTTTCCCCTTTCGCCCCTCATTGCTCACTAGCAGTTCAACATGTCACACACAGAGAGCCAACAGTGCCCTAGTTAATCTGATAACAGAGTTTCGGGGAGAAATAGTCTTGTGTGACTATATTCATTAAACAAATCTGAGTTGATTTCCATTCTGCTGGTGGAATGACCACTAGGGGGCCTGCAGAACTACAGCAAATGGGGGTACAAATGAATTCTGAAATAAACGTAAATATTTCAAAGACTTTATTTTCACCCACACTGAGCTGATAGCATAATTTGTAAAGCACAATTTAGTGTTAAATTAGAAAAGGATGCAAAATAGAAGCATTTCACTAGAGGTCTCAGACTTTTGGACCCCACTGTATGTGTGTGTGTGTAGAGAGGCTTAGTGTCAGCTGAATCACTGTGCGTGGGAGTGCAAATATCCTGGAAGAGGACTGTGTGTTGTGCCTGCATGCAGGACCACATCCCCTGCCCTATCTCTCTCTTTCTGTTTCTCTCTCTCTTTCTCTCCGTCTCTTTCTCTCTCTCTCCACACCGCCCCCTCTTGCTGCAGACCCCATGCCCGTCACAGAGAGGGCCACAATGACACACATACACACACGCACACACACACACAGCGTCTCAGCAGCGCTCCGTGGGGAAACACGCTGTAAATGTGCGGAGGGAAGAGGTTTGTTTTCACTGACTCATTGTTACAATAAAATATTCACAGAAACAAAGCCCGTTTAGGCTGTTCCCACTGGACATTTACTCAAAGGCCATGTTACAGGACCACACTCAGGACGAGCATGCACATCTGCACAAGCTCAGAATGAAACAGACCTTCTCATACTGACGATTCTTATCTTCACACTTAAATGCCTCTGTGGGATTTCTTACGTCAACCTGCAATGCAAACTCATTCAGTTTCCTTTCTTGAAAAGTTTCGTTTAAAAAATACACAAATATCAAACATGCATACAAATAGCAAATATAAAGCACCGAGCTGAATTTGAATGAATCTAATTTTAAAATTGAATGTAAAAAGTGAATTTATTTAAAAGAAATCAAAAGTAATTCAACTGATGCAAAGTGAACTTTTTAAAACTGACCAAAACTGACTTAAAATGAACTGAAATGAATTTAACTGAGTTTAGCTGAATCGAATCAAACTAAACTAAACTGAACGGAAATGAATTGAATAAACTGATTTGAATGGAATAGAACAGAATCTCGCCAAAACTGAACTGAATCAAACTAAATTAAAGTGTTTGGAACTGAACTGAACTTAATGATCCAATCCAAACTAAACTGCGTCAAACGTAAATGGACTGAAATGAATTGAAATGAACTGAATCAAAATAAATTGAAGTGTTTGAACTGAACTGAACAAGCAAATCAATCTAGACCACGTCAAACTTAAATGAACTGAAGTGAATTGACATGAACTGAATCAAACTGACTTGAACATAATTGCACTGAACTGAACTTTATCCAACTGAACTGAACTGAACCAAATCAAACCAGCCTGAACCAAATCAAACCAGACTGAACTGAACTGTATAAACACTGAACTCGATTTGAATTGCATTGAACTGGACTGAACTGAATCAATGCAAACTGAATTGAACTGCATCAAACTGAACTCAGTTTAAACCGAACAAAACTAAATTGAACTGAATCAAACCGAGCTGAGCTGCGTCAAACTTACTGAACAGAACTGAATTGAACAGAATCAAACTCGAACTGAACTGAACTGAGCTGAATCAAACTCGAACTGAACTAAAACTGAACTGAATTGAGCTGAATCGGATTAAAAGCATTCCGAAGAGTTTGAACAGGTCCCCAAACGAATCGATTCTCTCAGAATGCAAAGGGTGAGGAAGAGACGTGACAGTCTTGTGGGCTGCAGGTGAATTCGCAGCGTAGAAGGAGAGCCTCTGTGTGCGTGTGCATATGAACGTCCAAGTGTGTGCGCGCGCAGTGAGATTTAGTGTGTCTGTGGAGGAAGAGGGGCAGGAATAGCAGGCGCGTGGGCGTGCTGAGGTCCACATACATGCATCAACTCAGACGGGTGTGTGTGTGTGTGTGCGCGTTTTTGAGCCTGAGTGGCCATAGCAGCACTGCTGTGTGTGTGTGTGTGTATGTTCTGGTCTGTGCAGCAGCAGCAGTAGCAGCATTAGAGTCTCTCTCTCTCTCTCTCTCTCCCTCTCTCTCTCTCTCTCTCTCTCCCTCCCACACACCTCATGCCGCCCACGCCAGCATGTGCGTCACGAGTGCGCGTGGGAGGGAGAGCGCGCTGGAGGGGGGAGGGGAGGGGGGGGTTTAGAGGGGAGGGGTAAGTATGGAGGGAGGGTGAGAGGGGAGAAGGAAGCGCACCGGAGACTCTTTCAGACAGAACTGCTGTTGCGCGGAGCTGCTTACAGAGTTTCCAGTCCGCGCGGCAAGAAGACAGGAGGGCGCGAGGCGAGGACACCGGCTCTTATCCCGCGAGGATACCCCCTCCACCCCACCAACTTACCCCCCCAACCCCACCACACCTGCACGGGCTCCATGTGAAGGCGAAGCCTCGCGATATCCACGCGCAACTTTTGATCGGAGAGGAAAACAGCAGCAGAAAACAGCACCGAGAGAGAGAGAGAGAGGGAGAGAGAGACATACAGCCACACGGCGTTGGGAAGAGACAAAGAAGGCAAAGGTAAGAGACGCGGTCAGCGCTGAAAGCCTGCTGTGACCGTGTGAGAGAGCGCGGGGGTCTGTTGTGGAGGGTGACAGGCTGAGTCCGGACAGCAGCAGAGCAGGTGGGCGAAGATAGGGAGCAGCTGGGGAAAGAAAGGGCAGAAAGAAAGAACAGACAGAAAGCATCCTTACCTTCTCCCACTGTCCTGCTGCTTCTGGTG